TTGATAGGGATCACGTTAAATCTGTAGACTACTTTGGGTAGTGTGGCCATTTTAACAATATTAATTCTTCCAATCTAAGAGTATGGGAAAACTTTCCATTACTTTAAATCATCTTCAATTTCCTTCTTCACGGGATCTTTCAGACCCAGGGATTGAACCCAGCTCTCCAGCATTGCAGGCAGATTCTTTACCATCTAAGCCACCAGGGAAGCCCACTATCCATTTTAAGTCTCTTTAATCTGTTATAACCTTTTTCATTGTTAGACCTTTCCTGAACCCCCTGTGAGCCTCGTCATTGGACACATATGCTGTCTAAGTCCAGTGGACCTCTGCCCACTAGAAAAAACAGGCAGAGACCACAAGGGACAAATGATGGGAAGAACCAAAGAACTGCCCTTGAGACTTAAATAAGGCTCAGCTGATGTTTTTATATCAGAATTAGACTATTTCTAAATTAGACTCTTAGCCCCTAGGGCAGGGTTGCCTAGTTGTATAAAATAAGCCAACAAGTATCCAGTAATCACACAAAATTTGGACACCATGAAGCTAGTGTTTTGGACACAAAAGATAGCCTAAGGAGACTAGAAAGGGATCAGAAGAAAAACACACAGGAATGAGACAGCTGAAGTGGGAGGAGGGTGGGAGAGGAGACGTGAGCTAAGAGATGTGGGTTTTACAGCAGCCGAGGGAGGTAAGTGTTCACCAGTATCAAATGTGCAGCTGCCACTCCGAGCAGGAGGAGACCTGAAGCGGTGCCACTGGAGCTGTCAACTGGGAGGCCCCTCAATGGCTCGGGCAGAAAAGAATTCACCCGCAACGCAGGATACATGCGTTCAACCCCTGGGTTGGGAAGATCCCCTGGAGAAAAGAATGGCTACCTACTCCAGTATTCTTGCCTGGAGAATTTTACAGACAGAGGAGCCTGGTGGGTTATGGTCCATGGGGTTGCAGTCAGACATGACTGAGTGACTCACTAATGTCTGGACAAGCTGCCCTAGACTGGTGGGGGAAGAACCCACATCAAGTGGTGTGAGGAGAGGTGGGGAGGAACGTAACCTACTCATTCAAGGAGGTGTGAAGTTTTGAGGACAGGAGACTTGAGGTGAAAGCGGGACCAGGAAATAAGGGTTGTCTTAACATGGTAGACATACAAGTATCCAGTACATACTACTGGATGGAAGGAAAGAAATTAAAGTATATTCAAAAGAGAAGGAATTGCCCCAAAACTTGGAGAGGAAAAAGGACATCTTTGCCTCTGGGATGAGGTGGCGGTGAAAGGAAGAAAATGAGAACCAGTGGAAGGTTTAAGAGAGGGAAGGTGTTCCCATGGGTTACCACTTTTTCTCCAGGAGGAAGAAGACAAGTAGGAAACAACTGGGGCTGAGAAGGGCTTGAGGACCATAATGGGCTTCTAGAAGTTTCCTGGGAAGAGATCTGCCATGCGGTGTGGAGGGGTTGGTCTGAGGTTTGCCACCCATATTTGCAATAGCAACTGGTATATGTTGTGATTATCCCCAGAAGGGGCTTCCTATTAGCAAGGGAGGAGAAACTGATTCAGGCTTGAGGGCTGGGCAGGCAGATGAATGAGGAGGTCACTATGGAAAGGAAAATGCAGTGGAAAAGATGCACTAGGGTTCTTCAGGCAGGATAGGGAAGGGCCAGGAAGACATGAAGGGCATCAAAGGTGTGAAGACTTTGCTAAGAGTTCATGCTTGTTCAGTGAATGGGAAGGACCAGCGAGCGTTGTCAACGAGTGAGATTGTCAAGTTCTGGTCTTCAGCACTGACCTGTGTCTGAGTCAGAGAAAGTCCCAGGTTGTGTATGAGGGCTTTAAGATAAAGGCCATGATGCTGAAAAAGGCAATGGATGGTGAGGCCAGGTTGAGGTAGCCTGGGACAGTGGAAGTGACAGGAGGTGGGGGAAGAGCAGATAAGCCACTGGTCCTGGACGAACAAGGAGACTGATCTAGAGAAGATGTATTTTCTGAAATACACAGCACAGAGCAAGTTTCTGGCTTCCTAAAGAGTGGGCTAACATGAATAGTACAAGTCTCAAAGGGAGGGGCTCCTGAAAAACAGCTTTCAGAAGCGGAGCTCACAGATCACAGTNAGCACAGAGCAAGTTTCTGGCTTCCTAAAGAGTGGGCTAACATGAATAGTACAAGTCTCAAAGGGAGGGGCTCCTGAAAAACAGCTTTCAGAAGCGGAGCTCACAGATCACAGTTGGCCCCCCTTATGCTGCATCAAACTCAACATACACAGATTTCACCAATCACAGATCAAAAATATCTGGGAAAAAAATTCTAGAAAGTTTCAAAAAGTAAAGCTTGACTCTGCTGCATGCTGCCAGCTATTTATATAACACTTGCATTATATTGGTGATTATAAGTAAATCTAGATAGGATTTAAAGAATATGGGAGGATATGCATAGGTTATACACAAATACGGTGCCATTTTATACATGGGACTTGAACACTGTGGATTTTGGTATTGAGAGGGGTGGTTCTGGAACCAATATTCCACAGATTCTAAGGACAACTATATCTACTTATTGACTAATTTACTGTTCGTTCTTGACCTGTATTAACTGCCTACTGAACATCTCTAAGATATATTTCTGGATCATCTGTTGCGATATGAACCTATCTCCCCAACCTCTATAATTTACTCTTCTTCCACCATTTCTTTAATTCTAGATAGCAGCATCACTATTATCCAGGTAGCTGTTCTAAAAAATAAAAAGGTCATTCTTTACCACCCCTTACAGTCTCCACCTAACCTGCCTCCTCCCCCATTTGGAAGCTCTCACCCACATGCCAGTAAAGACTGGTAATAAGAGTCAGACAGATTTGATTTAAATTCCAGCTCAACCATTTCTACCTCGAATGATCCTGGGCACAAAATTGTCCTTAAACTTTATTTTCTTCTGTCGTCGTGTTAGTTGCTCAGTCATGTCCGACTCTTTGCAATCCCATGGATTGTAGCCTGCCAGCCTCCTCTCTTCATGGGATTCTGCAGGCAAGAATACTGGAGTGGGAAGCCATTCCCTTTTCCAGATTTTCTTCTGTAAAATGGTAATAATACTAGTACTAACAAATGGGTTATTATGAGATTTAAATGAATTAATGCATGTAAAGAATTTAGTACCTAATCTAGCATAATATAATTTCCTTCAAAGTTTTGAAAATCATTAATTTTGTCATTTGCTGCTGCTTCTGACTTGATGTTGTCTACAAAGTTTCTGGCTACATTTCTTAACTTCTGCATTTACTGTGGGAAAATTTCTTAAATTTTCATGAATGCTTTATTATAAACATGCTAGTAATCCTCTATTTTGAGAAGGGCATGGCAACCCACTCCAGTATTCTTGCATGGAGAATCCCATGGACAGAGGAGCCTGGTGGGCTACCGGTCATTGTATCTCAAGAGTCAGACACAACTTCCAACAACTGAGCATGCATGCAGTCCTCTATTTTATTGAAGTATAGTTGATTTAAAAATAACAATGTTGTGTTAATTTCTGCGGTACAGCAAAGAGATTCCATTTTATATATATATATATATTCTTTTTCATATTCTTTTCCATTATGGTTTATCACAGGATCTTGAGTATAGGTCCCTGTGCTATACAGTAGGACCTTGTTTATCCATCCTATATATTACAGTAGTAATACTAACTTTGATTTGTAAATCAAGTAATTTTAATTCTATTTGCTCTCTTACACTTTGAATCAATAAACACACTTTAGACAACATACACCTCCACGTCAGCTTTCTGTCATTTGTAGTTTTATTAAAAATTCTCAATAATTCTAATGGGTAAATAAAAGGAAATCACTGATGAAATTTTAAACACAGCCTCAGCTTTAAAAAAAAGATAAGACTCTAAGCCAAATATCCTCACCACCATGTTATCAGTAACATTCACACTCAAATGGCTCACTTTTTGTTATAAACTTTTTTAGAATGGAAACCTACTAGCGCTGGGTTTTGAACATGGAGGAAAACCAAGAGCTAGCGTGGCTGTTGGCCCCTGGGCTTTAGTGGCCTCCCCCACCCCACCTGTCAAACTAACATTCACATTCTCTTCTTACTAATCCCTTCTTAAAGCTAAATTCAACTCCCCCTTATCCAGGGCAAAGATTCAGAGTGAGAGGGAAAATGAGGACATTACTAACCCCAGCTGGTAAACTGCAGCATTATTCTACTGCTTCTATGAGCAGTGCCATCACTGTCAGCACCTCTTTCTCTTCCTGGTTCTTGTTCCCTGTCTTCTCCAGTCACCACCATCGAACGTGAACACTGACATTAATGAACACATCAGTGAAACTGGAGAAACATTCCACCAGGACGGCAGCAGGCAAATGGGAGCATGGCTGGAGTGGTTACTTTGCCAAAAATTGTTCAGTGAGCTACCAAAAATTAGATACTAATTTTCACCCACAAAGAGAGGCAGTGGCAGAGTTGAGTTAGGACTGATTAGTTGAAATTTAATAGCAGACATCGGGTGGTGGAATCTTTCTTTGAATGAAGGGTCTTTCCAAGGAAGACATCTATTAGGGATAGCAAGAGGAAGAGATTAAGGGATAAATGGTCATATCTTTTGTCATCCTCAAATCTCCACATTCTCCCGGGAAGTATCCATACCACCACCCTTTGTCCATCTACCATAGATGGACTTCACATCTATTATATAAGCCAGAAACTTACTCTGTGCTGTATATTTCAGAAAGTCCATCATCTGCCTGACCGCTAATTAGGAAAAGTACGTGGCACAGTGGTAAAGAATCCGCTTGCCAATGCCAGACACGCAAGAGACACGGGTTCAATCCCTGGGTGGAGAAGATCCACTGGAGAAGGAAAGGGCAACCCACTCCAGTATTCTTGCCTGGGAGATCCCATGGACAGAAGAGCCTGACGGGCTACAGTCCATGGAGTCGCAAAGAGTCAGACACAACTGAGTGCACACATGCAAACACACACACAGCATTAAATCGTTCTACCGTGCTTGCAAACAAAAGTTTATACCTCAAATATTCATGTATGTAGATCCTAACACACATGAGTGGGTAAAAAATCAAAAAGGGAAAGATACAAAGGTTGTTCTACAAAGAGAGCCAGTTCAAAAATGGGGGGGTAAAAAAGTATGTTGACCTGAGCAATCACAGTTTCTCATATCAAACAGAACCCCAAAATAGATGGAAATGTCTACAGTAGCTCCTGATCCTGGTGTGCCTGTAACAGAAAAATGGAATCATGGTTCAGCTGCGAAATCCTGGGCCCTCGTTTTCCCAGTGGCCTAAATCAATCCCCAGTCCGGGGACAAGATGCTGAGCAAGGTGCGTAATTATTTCAGGCCACTAGGGTAAGCACTATTCCTGGCAACTCTGTAGGCAGCGCCATGGATGAGGGTTTCTAATCCTCTTTGGTGATTTGGTTCTGTGCAAACTGAGATTTTTCTTTCACTATTTCAGCCAGATAAGCAGGAAAGGCCAGCTCCAGTCCTGAGCTAGAGCCAATCAAGGTCAGTTTCAGTTCCTTTTCTGTGCGGTTTAGATTCCTTTTTCCTTGCTGCCTTCCCTGACACCTGTCCTTATATTTTTATCTGATTATCAGAACCTAGTGAGAGAACCCTTGGCAGCCTCTGGTGCTTACTCTGTCATGCAAAAGCCTCTAAGTCTAGGGGACATAAATACTGTGCAGAGCAGAGTCCTTGAAAGGCCAACCTAAGACCCAGGCTATGCACCACAGAGAGGCGTCTCCCATGGGGATTTTAAGGGTGAGGTTGAAACTCGTGCCTGCTTTTACCCAGAGGCAATACTGACGTTTCAACTACCTATTAACAAATCTCTCATGTTTTGCTGGACACTGCCCCCACAATAAATTCAGTTATTACTTAACAGAAAGAAAGTGAAAGGTAAATCTTGACATTCCCATTTGGATGATGATGAAGTAGAGGTTTAAAAGAGTTGTGTACACTGAATTCAACCAAGCAGTGTTGTAGCTGGAAAGTAGACCAGCTGACACCTGTCCCCGGTTTTATAGGTCACAGACTTCGTAAGTTTAGAGCAGTGTTTTACTTACCATGTTCCTCCTTGAAAGCTTCTATTTACCTTCTTAAATTGTGGGTGCCAGTGGAGAGGTACGAGGTGTCCATTCCAGACACTCAGACAACATACACAGACTGAGCCGTCTGCCTGTTGAGTACACAGCTCCGGGCTGAAGAATTCCTAGGGTTGTTAGAAGAACACAGGAGACTTCAGAGGGAGCAGGCTCTGAGGTGGATGTGAATACCTAAATCCCTACAAAGACAGATTAGAAACATCCTCTTTATTATTACAAACCAAAAAACCGAACCCATGTATTCTGTGCTTTTTCAAAGTGCATGCCCTCCCCCCCGTATCTTCATTAAAGAAATGCAAACACATGTGCTTCAAGACGGGTAGGTGTAAAAGAACATTCTGCACAGTTATATCTAGGCTGTCGCAGACTTCTTTCACATGCAACCATCTATCCGGGGGATGTTAATTCACAAGGAGGAGGAGGAGGAGTTGGAGGAGAAAGGCGGCGGTGGCGGCAGCGAAAGAAGAGGGGAGGACGGGGGCGGCGTCGGACTGGAGCCGAGCGGCGGCACGAGCTGCCCGGGGCGCTGTCGTGAGCTCGCCCGCCGGGCCCCCACCCCCGAGCTACACCCTGCCGTGCCCAGCTCTGCCCGCGTCCGTGCCCCCGCGGGGAGCGCGCCGGGGCTGCCCCCCGAATGACGGGCGGAAGGTTCGACTTCGACGATGGCGGCACCTACTGCGGCGGCTGGGAGGAGGGCAAGGCGCACGGGCATGGCATCTGCACGGGGCCCAAGGGCCAGGGCGAGTACTCGGGCTCCTGGTCGCACGGCTTCGAGGTGGTCGGAGGCTACACCTGGCCCAGCGGCAACACCTACCAGGGCTACTGGGCGCAGGGCAAGCGGCACGGGCTGGGGGTGGAGACGAAGGGCAAGTGGATGTACCGGGGGGAGTGGTCACATGGCTTCAAGGGGCGCTACGGGGTCCGGCAGAGCCTGTGCACCCCCGCCCGCTACGAGGGGACCTGGAGTAACGGGCTGCAGGACGGGTACGGCGTGGAGACCTACGGGGACGGAGGTGAGCGGCGTCGCTGGCGGCTCGGCTGCCCTGCGAGCTGGGCGCTGGGGGAGGGCTTTGCCCCTGACTGCGGGGCCGCGGGGAGGACGCGAGGCGCACGTGTCCGGAAACCCGCCAAAACACCTGGGGGAGCCTCCCACCCTCTCCCGCGGCCACTCTCCCCGGGAGGGGGCGTTAGGACGCGGCGGGTGCGCGGGGGGTTGGATCTGACCCGGTTCTGGGGGCGGGCGGTGTGTCCAGACCGGGGGGAACAAGGCGTGAAGACACCTGGCCGGCGCCAGCGCCGCCCTGCCACCGGGAGGGAGCGCGCCCGGGAGGGCTGGACTGGGAAGAGGACGCTGTCACTTGAGCCCGTCACATTACGTTCCTGATCCCTCCCTCTCCCGGCCGGGTTTGAAATCGCCACTCCCGTGGAGTGAGCGAGCGCCCTGGGCTTGGAGGCTGGCGGTCGCGGCGCACCGCTGCCGGGATTGGTTTCACGTGGAGTCGTATTTCGCCTCCGGTCCTCTAGTGGCCTAAAGATAGAAGCCAGAACCCCAGAACTGGGATGTTGGGGAACTGTTCCTTATCGGAGGTGCATTTGGAAAGTAATCGTAGTTATGGGAGTGGAGAGGCCACCTGATGCAGCGGGTGTTCAAAGAATGCGGGGTTTTCTTTTTTGTTTTCTTCGCTTTCTTAAAGTATCGGTTATCTATCAAAAGAAGGTAGTCATTGTTGATCTGGAGATATCTGGAAAAATTACCAGGAAAACATTTTAGAAACGAACAGTGAAGTCTGTGTTTTAAAAAATACAATTGAAAGGTGTATTCCCATAATAGCTAAATTAACAGCTACTTCACTCCTGAGAATAGCAATAGGCAATCGCTGGTTTGCCCTAAGGTGTGTGATGGAAAACAGCATGCTGGCTGTGAGCAAAATTCACCTAATTTTAATATTTAGCAATACTTGCAAAAGACATTTTGTATATAATAGGGCAGAGTCCCCCCTCAACACTTTTTTCCCCAAACAGGAAAAGTATATATTATTGATACAGGTGTCAAAACCTGATGAATTTGCTTGTGTAACAAACCGAGAAGGACAAATGGCTTATGCTTTGGCAAAACACATTTTCTGATAATAATCATAATTAATTGAAAAGGGTTGTAGAAGGCAATGTCACATTTTGGAATTCTGCAGCTCAGAGTTGGAGGATATTAAAGGGGTCCAATTAAAAGTTTGTCCAGCCCACTGCAACCCCAGTCAGGCAACTGCTTACATAAAAGCTTATACAATTTGTACACTTCACTTACTCAGAACACTTGGGCCATGTTTCACATGCAAACCGGCAGCATGGTAGGACTGGCTAAAAAAGACATCTTTTCATCCTACACTATAAATAAAGGATATAGTTCTCATGGATTAAAAGTGGGGCGGGGGGGAATGTCTCTAATAACTGTATATGGGCTGCATGAGTTTCAAGTTCCACAGTAGTTAATTAGGGCCCTTAAATGTTCTCAATGGGCATAGAGCACCTTAGTTGACACCCATATAAATGTGTTAGCTTGTGACTGGATTTTATCAGAGGCCCCAGGTCTACAATATAACTAAATTCCATGCTCAAAAGTGGAATGCAAATCTTATCTTTCAAACGTGTGCATTATTTTACAACCTTTCAAGAAGGTGGTGGATAGTTCTTCAGTATTTGGAAGGCTAAAAATAAATGAGTCTTCTTTTAAAGTTACTACTCATTAAACAAAATCTCTTGGTTTAAAGTATTCATTATACCTAGCAATCAAAAAATATATATAGCACAGTAAAGGTCCTCTGTTTATGTGTTGCAGAAGCTCAAATAAGTGTCTAGGGTGACTATGGATAATTGGCCTCCTGTTTTAAAACTAGCTTTTAAAAGAATTTTTTAAAAACCTCAAAATTTGGCACTACCACAGGACAGCGGTTTTCTTTTTCTACCAAGAAACAAAAACAAACAAACTAATATGCGACCAATTAGGAAAAGAGCAGGGGGAACTCCTAAAACTCATTATTGAATTCTTACTGTTACTTTCTTTCATATGTCAGTCAGTTAATTAGAAAGTCCTGAATCATAAAATGGGGGTCTAAGTGGAAGTGTATTGCTATAACTTATTTCCTGCAAAGATTTTGGCCACAATAAGACAGATCGCTTCCACAAGCTTTACTTCTTGCCTCCGCACCACCACAAGTCCATCCCTAGAAGCCTCGGTCAGACTTAAGGAAAATCTGATTGCATGTATTTTGTGGTGACGTTAAAACTCGGGAGGAAGGAAGTTGTAATTCCATTGACAACTATCACTCGGTTTATTTTACTAGTGATCTGAGTATGAAGTGTTGCTGAAATAGAAACCCCTGAATATTAAGTAAGAATAGCTAGTACAGTGCTCCCAAAATCCAAGTCTAGGTGCCCAGAATATTCGGTAAAAATTCGGATCCTGCTGTGATTCGTTTTTTCACCTGTCATGAAACTATTAGAATATATCTAGAAAGACACATTGTTGTGTTAATTATATGCATTCCTGTCCATGCACATTTTCATTCATAGCATGTAGATTTAAATTTGGCACATTAAATCTAAATTTGACTGGAATTCTCTCTGAATTGGAAGTCTTCCAGTACAAACTTATTTAGTGAAAATGGCTGTATCTAGAAAATCAGCTCCCAGATGAAAAGTCATGCAACATCCATAAAAATATTTTTTTAACTTATGAACTATGCATCCATATGTAAGAAATTGAGAGGAACTAATTAGAAACTTTGAGCAGCAGGGAGCAGGTGGAACCCACCTGCTTCATAAAGAAAAAGAGGCCCTTTATCCCCCACTTAGGTTCACTGACTAAACTAAACCTACTTTAAATTTCAGATGAATCACTAACACTTTGACTGTAAATTAGTTTCTAGCAATTCTATGGAGGAATTCTTCCCTGTACTGTTCCTCAACAGGGTAAGATGGGAATACAGCCAATGCCATTGTTCTGCCTTCTCTGCTGCTACGATCAAGTAACAACTTAAACTTTCTAGTTACTGCTGTTGCCTTAAACCACTTAGATTTGCAAGCAATATGTCTTTGGAAATTCTAGTCTTATTTTGGAGATAGCAGATTAAGGAAACTAGTTGTTAATTTCCCCTCGGTGTTAAACATTTCCTAAGATAGTGTGGTTGTGTTTTAAAAGTGTAAGTACTTCTTGATATGAAACAGTATGTTTGGAAGTTCTAGCAAAATTGTAGAAAAGTTAGAGGAGAATGATTATAGTGTTCCTTGTTTATTTAAACAAAATATTTTAAAATAAGGTGGTTTGTTTTAGTGCATATAAGTCAGGTTGTATAACTTTTATCTTAGAACTTGCATTTTTATCTCTCTAGGCAAAGGGAAAGTCAGTTGCAATTTTCTAATAACTTCAGTTTCCTTCTGGGTTACAGTGGTGGTTTTGGAGATGGCTAATACTGAGTAGAAAGCTTCTTGATCTGAAATGTTGTATTTGATTGTCTTATCCTTTGGGGTTTATCCTTTTGGGAAAGTCATGGCCCACCCACCTCCTCAGAAGTTCTGAGATGTCAGATTAAGATGTTAAGACCTACCCAGAGTATGACATTCACAGTACCAGACCCCCTTTGTTTTGAGTTGGCCAAAAAGTTCGTTTGAGCTTTTTGTCAGATACATAGGGGAAGAACCCGAATGAACTTTTTGACCAACCCAATATGTTGTTGTCACCCTGCTGCTGTCTATTTATATACCAAAAATATGTCAGAATGAACAGAGAGAGATGGTAGTCTTGCAATTAATCAAAACTTTTGACTTGGGAGCCACTATGGGCTTTAACTTTTAAGTGCATGAAATAATCAGTAAGCAGCACTTCTCAGTATTTTAAAAGTAAATGTATGCCATGCAATGGAAATTTTTTCATGGCAATCTGAAATGAAAAGTATACTGCAAAGTAACTCTATATAACCAGAAACTTAAAGGAGTCAAGACAGTTATGATTTACTTTCTATAATATTTGTGAGTTAGAAAGAATACAGAGGTAATTATATCTTAATATTTCCATGTAACTTCTTTGGAGGGCTAGTTTAATATAAAATTTGCCTTTAATTAAAAGGAAATGGACTCAATTTAGAAGAGAAAATTCTAAACCTCTCAGCTTAAAGAGGTTCACCCAAAACTAAATAATAATCCTGAATATTAAATAGTTTTCCCTGCCCTAAAGAACATGATGAATGTGGTAGAATGAAAATGTAAGAAAACTTGTTTGACAACTCATGTTCCAAGCATTCAGATCACTAATAACTTTAGGTCTTTGAGCTTGTTGGAATGTCAAACTGCCAGACCTTAAATCTTTCATTTTTCAGTTAAATTAGTAAGAATACAGCTCACAAATAGAGCTCATTTCTTCCTCTGCTATTGCACTGCCTTCCTCAAAGGGGATTTTGATGTGTTCATTTCAGGGGAGAAAAATTTTCTAATGATCACTCTCTTGTATTAGAAGTCAGTGCTTTGTAAAATGTTTTCAGTGAAAGGCAAAAAAAACCAAACACCTATCGGAAAAACCTATGTAGATTTAGATTAGAGATTATCCTATTCCTGAGAAGGCATAATATTCATTGAAAAAAATAGTGTCAACAAAGTTTTAACGGGCACTGTCAGGCCCACCTTTGATCTAAGATGAATTGCATAGGCTTAAGAGTGGAAAATTTCCTCTGACTTCCTCTCAATTTTACCAAAGGTAAGCAGCACGCTCGTTTGCTGATATACAATTACAGAAATGGCCTAGACACAACACTTCAGGATGGGGATTCACAAAGGGAATTTCCGAAGCATGGCCTAGAGTTGACTAGGCAGTGTGCGGGGTTGGGCCTTGAGTCCCCGGGCCTGCGCGCAGGGCTCTCCAAGTGCGCACCTATGCCCCAATCGGCCTCCCTCCGGCCCCGGACTCACGCTGTGCTCTCTCGCGCTCTCTCGAAGGTACCTACCAGGGCCAGTGGGCCGGCGGCATGCGGCACGGCTACGGCGTGCGCCAGAGCGTGCCCTACGGCATGGCCACGGTGATCCGCTCGCCGCTGCGCACGTCGCTGGCCTCGCTGCGCAGCGAGCAGAGCAACGGCAGCGTGCTCCACGACGCCGCGGCCGCCGCCGACAGCCCGGCCGGCACCCGCGGCGGCTTCGTGCTCAACTTTCACGCCGACGCCGAGCTCTCGGGCAAGAAGAAGGGCGGCCTCTTCCGCCGGGGCTCCCTCCTGGGAAGCATGAAACTGCGCAAGTCCGAGTCCAAGTCTTCCATCTCAAGCAAGCGCAGCTCGGTCCGCAGCGACGCGGCCATGAGCCGGATCAGCTCCAGCGACGCCAACTCCACCATCAGCTTCGGCGACGTCGACTGTGACTTCTGCCCCGTGGAGGACCACGTGGACGCCACCACCACGGAGACCTACATGGGCGAGTGGAAGAACGACAAGCGCAGTGGCTTCGGCATCAGCGAGCGCTCCAACGGCATGAAGTACGAGGGCGAGTGGGCAAACAACAAGAGGCACGGCTACGGCTGCACCGTCTTTCCCGACGGCTCCAAGGAAGAGGGCAAATACAAAAATAATGTTCTGGTCCGCGGAATAAGGAAGCAGCTGATACCAATAAGAAATACAAAAACTAGGGAGAAGGTGGACAGAGCGATCGAAGGCGCACAACGGGCAGCCGCCATGGCCAGAACCAAAGTGGAAATAGCAAACTCCAGGTATGTAAACGCCGGAGGGGTGGCACTGCCCGGGGCTTTGGAAATGGTAGGGTATCAGATAATCTGTGTGTGTCAGTCCTTTGGCGGCATAGGTTCCAGAACCAGAAGTGGAAAAGGATTCAGCCCGATAGAATGAGGCAGAAATGTACCTGGAACTCTTCTGAAACTCTCCATCCTCAAAAAGTGTTGAAGGCGCTTTGCGGTCCCCTTCCTCTTACTTCCTTAATACGAAACGTGATGGAGTTCACTCAGAGCCTGTGTACATTTCCCAGAGTCCAGAAAGTTACCTTTTTTAAAAAAGACAAAAAAGCACCCCTGAAATACTTACAGAGAGAACATAGTACATCGTGTGCTGGAAAGAAGATACCCATCCACATGGAAACCTACCCAGTGTAGGTGAACCTTTTTATTCTAACATTAAAGTTGCAGGTGTGTACAACTCCTCCCTAGAAAATTATCCTCATTTATAACATTCACATTCTGTTTATTGATGCCTTCTAAGTGAAATTGGTTTTGAGCAAGTGATCAAGGTCTAAATAAGGCAGAAATGGAGAGTTATATGACAAAACCCGTCAAGCATTCTTTAAACAACAGAACCCACCTGCATGGGAAAGGCAGAGGGACTGGGGCTCAGCAGAATCCCCCCATTCTAGGCAAGAAAGATTAGATCACTGGTGTATTAAAAAGAAGCGGGTAGGGAGAGCCTGACACGGACAGATGGGACTGTTAGTATGCCAAGTTTGAAAGAAAGAGCGGTAGAGAAGGGCTGGAGTGAGTAGGAGAAAGCAGTGAATAATAGATTGAGAAGTGGGGTGTATGTTGGCACAGAAGGTCCATGCGCCTAAAGTTTTACCCTTAAGAGCTGGATTCAAGCATTCAACCAGAAGGATGGAGAAATTGGTTGGGAATAGAGAATTTTATTAGGGATGGATGTCATATGTTAGACAAACATGAAAACGGGCTGGTTATACATGGAACACTTTATTCTTAGGCTTATTTCAGCAAATACTTACTGGCCCCAGTTCTGTGTGATTTCAGATATACGTTTAGCACAGAATATTGAAAATCCTTTTCTTTCTTTAGTAGTATTCTCCCACTGAAGTAAACCTCTTTATGAAACCAAGGAGGGTGTTGCATAGTCTGCAAGTATTGTGTTATGATAGTTTATAATCAACGAACATCTTAAGACCTTGTACTAACTAGCTTAAGACCTTGTACTAACTAGCTAGTTAACTACTTTTAAGATTTCACTTGGCTTTTTAAAAAATTCTCAGTTCATTTTGCTAAGTGACATAAGTCCATCACAGAACAAATACATTGCATAATTCTACTTATAGGAATGATCTGTAATGGTCCAACACGTAGAAGCAGTGAAATGGTGGTTGCCAGGGGCTGAGGGAGCATTTGCAAGGTGCTCTTCCAAGGTATAAAGTTTCACGTTAAGCAAAAATAAGTCCTAGAGCTTTCTACCACATTGTGCCTGGAGATAATACTGTGAAAAATAAGTGAAAGTGTTAGTCACTAAGTTGTGCCCAACTCTTTGTGACCCCATGGACTGTAGCCCACCAGGCTCCTCTGTCCATGGACTTCTCCAGGCAAGAATACCGGAGCAGGTAACCATTCCCTTCTCCAGCGGATTTTCCCAACCCAGGGATTGAATCTGGGTCTCCTGCATTGCAGGGAGATTCTTTACAGTCTAAATATTGGGCACTTAATGTTTAATAGGGTAGATTTCATGTTAAGTATTCTTATTGCAATAAAAAAAAAAAAAACCTACTCTTTCAATGACACAGTAGGAAAAAAAAAAATGTTTACTACCCTGTTAACCTTTTATATTTTACTTTCACTGTTTTATCCTCTTTCCAGATTCTGCTTTAATGACTTCTCCAGATACAGAGACTTGCAACTTGCTCAGTCCTTCCTGGCCCCTCTAGCAGTTGTTATTTACTTAATGTGTTTTTGTCTTTAAAATATAATCAAAGGTTTAAGAACATAAAGACACTCTTCCCCTTTCCCTGCCCCTTTTTCTGCCCCAATGATGGCAGAATAAGAACTAGAAAGTAAGACTCCTGGCAGCGGCCACTGTTGAAATCACTAGTTCACCATTAGCAGCAAAGGGAGATGATGGGTTAATAGTTACTGACCACTTGAGTTTGCCTGACTGGTAGTGTTAATTATTGTTGTATTGCTGTTATTTCTTATGCTATAGAGATTGTTGCTTGTTTCTGAAATCCCAAGGAAATGGGTCCACCTTTGTACCATCACCTTATTTTAGCTTGTAGCAAAGCCTTGGAGGGAAAACAATCATACTCGCCAATAATGGCAGCTCAGGAAAATCAGGAGACATGGTACCAGCCAACTTCAGCCCAAAGATTCAGGAAAGCTTGGTAAATCTCTGGATCTTTACTTCTTAGAAGAGGCAGTGGTGCATCGTCCTAGGAAACACAAGAAACTTATTTCTGAAGTCTTATTATGGACCCCTGTTTATTCCTTCTAGATCAGGGAATATGAGGATCGCCTAAGGGGTAGTAGATGATAGAAATGATGCAACAGTCTATAGATACTGAGTTTCCTTGCAGGTTAGCATTTAGAGTTAGAGCTTTAAGGGATGCTAATAATTCGTTGGCTCCTGTAACTTTTCTATTCTAATTCCAAAAGTACCATGTTTATAAGATTTAACAGAATGTTTTGCTCCCTCCTTGTCTTGGTCTTGAGGGTAAAAATCATCACGTGGAATTAAGATAGTGTCTCAACCTTGATTTTAAAGAAACGTTCAGGAGGTTCAGGAGGAAGGGGAGGAGCCCTTTACATCTCAAGCTCCTCATTTCTGGAGACAGAGGCTGAGGCACTGCTTGGGATCACCTCACTCTCCCTGTCATATCATTTACTTTTCTCATTTGGTCATTTTTTTGCTCCACTAACTCTTGACTTCAATAATTCCCTAAGAGAGATGTTCAAATGACTGTCAAATGAAAAATATTTTAAGGAAGAATTTTAACCTGAGGCATCTGGTTGAAAGACAGCAAATAAGTGACCCTTGGAGAGCCACACTTCTGTGGAAATGAACAGATAATTTAGGAAGGGGTATAGACAATGGCAACCTACTCCAGTACCCTTGCTTGGAAAATCCCATGGACGGAGGAGCCTGGTGGGCTGCAGTCCATGGGGTCGCTAAGAGTCAGAGCGACTTCACTTTCACTTTTCACTTTCATGCATTGGAGAAGGAAACGGCAACCCACCCCAGTGTTCTTGCCTGGAGAATCCCAGGGACGGAGGAGCCTGGTGGGCTGCAGTCCATGGGGTCGCTAAGAGTCAGAGCGACTTCACTTTCACTTGTCACTTTTATGCATTGGAGAAGGAAACGGCAACCCACCCCAGTGTTCTTGCCTGGAGAATCCCAGGGACGGGGAGCCTGGTGGTGGGCTGCCGTCTCTGGGGTCACAGAGTCAGACACGACTGAAGCGACTTAGCAGCAGCATAGACAAAAAAACAGCTTTGTAGCATCTGGGACTTAGAGAAAGTTGTCGTCATCATTTAGTCACTAAGTTTTGTTGACTCTTGTGACCCCGTGGACTGTAGCCTGTCAGGCTCCTCTGTCCATGGGACTTCCCAGGCAGGAATACTGGAGTGAGTTGCCATTTCATTCTCTGGGGGATTTACTGACCAGGGATCAAACCTGTGTCTCCTGCATTGGCAGGTGGATTCTTTACCCCTGACCCATCAGGGAAGCCCCTTAGAGTAGTTATTTGCTATAAGGGTGGAAGAGGCGTGATGAAAAGGCCTAAAGCAATTGAGAAAATAGGTGTTTGTTTATGTAGTCTGATTGTGTCAGATCAGAAGAAAGAAAACTAAGGGAGGATGGAGCTGAGTGGGAGAGTGGCCCTAACCCACTGACTCTGTGGCCAGTCTCACTGCAGCTAGTTGGGCGGTGGGCTGGGAGGCTCCCAGGACCGCTCTGAAGTGTCACTGATGGGACAGTCCAGTTAGTGGGGTGGGACCATCTGCTCTCAACCTCTCCCCAACCATCACTGCCGCTTCCGGTGGTAATGGCAGCACCTTGACCATGTGCTGTCCCCTGCCCAGTCCTGCTGTGCTTGTCACAAGAGTCACCCTGGGGGGGCGTGGAAGCAGCCAGATAGCACACGGACGAGCCGGCCTCAGAATCAAGGGGTCTGGTGAGCTTGCTGTGTCCATATGCCGAACCAGAGATCAGAGTCCCTACTTGGCAGTTTCGAACTTATGTATTAAAATGACATAATATTTTTGTTTTAATCCTACAGGAAAAATCAATTTCCCCTACTTCTTTTAGAAAAAAGGTACCTTACAATTTCATGCCACTCTCTCTTTCCTCATTGCCCAGGATGACTCAGCTATGACAGTTTTCCTTCAGGAAAGTCTTCGCTCATCTCTCCCTATGCCTGGCGCCCCTGCCCAGCTCCCCTAGCCAGCCGCTCGGGGTGCTCCCAACTCTGGTTTAAACCTAAAACCTCCTCTTCACAGAGGGTCTCCCTACCCCCGCCCCCTCCCACCCCACTGCATCCCCCTCATACCAGACCCCCCACCCCNCACCAAAACTTGTGATAAGGCAGAACATAAGAGCTTACTGTCTCTTAGAAATCTAAGTTTGCTAAATATTCAGCTGTTTCCTTTTGAAAGTTTTTCTTGTCCAGCGATTTTGGGGTCATTTTTCGTATTCATTCAAATAAGTGAATATGAAATCAATGGGACAGTCTCTTACAAGGTTACGCGACTGGATTCACGCTTCACTTATTAGTAATTAAAACCCAAAATCAGCCATGAGTCAGTGCATGTTATGGATCCAAATTAAGTTTATTGCCACCAATTATAGGAAAAAGCTCAGTTTCTGCCAAGCAATTGTGAAGGGCAAAGAGTTTGAGATTCTTAAATTCTATTGGACAAGAGGGTTCTTTCTCTTTTGAAAATTGATACTATTATAGTTTATCTTCTGTATTTATGTATTTTCAATAATATTAGTAGCCATATCATATCTTTAAAAACAGTTTTAAGTTACCTTTTCCATGAGTGTTTTTTTTTCTTTTATGGGGGCTCTGGTTAATTTTCCACTATTAGCGAAAAGTGATTTTTTCATAGGAAGCTGAATTTCGTATAATGCCTCGTAAGTCATTTTAATGAAAAGTCTGTTAAAAAAGCAATTTGTGGGGAAGTCACCTAAAATATGGGAACCTACAACAGAGGAGAGAATTGGCATTTTCTTTAGTTGTGTCTCTTGTGTTCTTCCATATCTGCCTTTGCTGTCTGTCAGCCTTTGTCCATCTGCTCTCACCAGCCCCCTACAAGCAAATTTCAGAGGTTTGATTGAAACACTCAGGCCCTGAGGTGCAGAAAAGTTACCATGAGTGGGGATTGATGCTTGACTTTTTCCATATGGGAGGGTCATTTTAAGGCTTGAATGAGAGAATGGGTTTCATGGGACTTTAACCTGTACATCACTGTGTCTAGTTAACATTTTAGAAAGTGTGTTGCCCTTTCAGGTGCCATTCCCAAAAGGGAAGGTTGATAGGAGACTAAGAAGGCAGGCTTGGGAAGCAGCAATAGGGCTAAGCAAAAGGGAAGGAATTAAGTTTGCCAAGCTTGACCACCTGTGTGCATATGTTTGCGTGTGTGTGTGTCTGTCTGTCTGTCTGTCTCCACACCCACCCTTTTCCCAGAAGCCTCAGTCAGTTTGGAGTCAGCATACTGTCAACAGGTTAGATTTTTTGAGACCAAAGAGAAGATGAACACAGAAATGGCATGTGTGTTTCTATTAAGCTAGGCTAGACCGAGGTCCTATCCTGAAGACGAGAGGGCAAGGACTTCATATTGTTTGGGTATATTCATGTAGGTCACCACTGCCCTTAATGTGTGTAATGGTTTCGTATTGCACATAAAAGTTTTATTTTTTATTTTAATTTTTTTACTTGGCTGCAGCAGGTCTTAGTTATGGCATGTTAACTCTTAGTTGCGGCATGTGGGAGCTGGTTCCCTGGCCAGGCAGGGAACCCCGGTCCCCTGCCTTGGCAGCTTGAAGTCTTAGCCACTGGGCCACCAGGGAAGTCCCTGGATTGCCCATTTGAAAAGTTTTAAATACTTGTTTCTCCTTTTTTTACCAAAGATTGCCCATTTCCTGCGGGAGCAAGTGAGGCACCTGCTCTGATTTCCTCACATTCTTCTCCAGGCTGTGGAAAGACACACTTCTTCCTATCACAAGGCCCAGGACCTCTTAAGGGGCCCAACAGTCCCTGAGAATTCTGCGGTGTGGCGAGAGACGGCTGAGACCACACAGATGACCTCGGCGTCAGCCCTCTGGTGCCCACGGACAGAGGGCCGAGCCTGGCTGTAATGCTTGTCTAGGGGCCAAACTCAGGGACACAGGGCAGGCCCACGCCCGCTCCTCTCCTTCAGCTCTGACGTTACATAACTTGGTGGCTTAACAGGTCATTACACGTGACATGGGAACACACTGTTTCCTGCACCTTATAAAGTGTTCTTAGGCCATCTCGTTTCTAAAGATCTCTCTTTAAAAAATTCTTCATCCAGCCCTGCCAGTGCCAGGCCCATTCAGAAACCCTGGGGCATTGAGGTGAGCCTGAGTTTTCATGATTAACTGGTAGGTCCAAGTAATTCCGATTTAATGAAACTTGGTCTTGGGCTGTCATCCTGGGAAGACCGCACAGTTACCCACACTTCAGAGCCATTAGAAACGTTCCTTTTGAAACCCTGAATGGTGTAGGCACGGCTGTCCGCTGTGACTGAGCGGGGAGGGTGAGGAGAAGGGTGCCACGTGTGGTGTGAGTGGGACATGAGGCCATAGTCAATTCTGCAGAGACCTATTTGCTGAAAACCAGCTGTGAGGACCGGAGGGAAAAAAACAATCCAGGGTGATGAGAAGCTAGGTTTTGGGGACACATGTTGGCCTGGTTTTAATTGCTGACATCTGAGTTTGCTGCAGACAGTCCAGATTTCACAGATTCCATCTCAGTGAACTGTGAAATATGACACTTGACTGATTCAGTCAATGTGAAAAATGAAGGCAGCAGGTACTTTTTAGTACAACTTGGTTGTGATGGAAACCACGCTACTGTACTGTTTACTGTAAGGCTGAAGGTGTGATTGCATTCGCGTTCCATCCCATGGGCTCTGTGTAAACCTACCCTTTACCCTGGAGAAGCTCTGTTTAGGGGGCCAGTGGCAGGGTTCTATGCACATGCTAACCTAGCGGGCAGACGCCTGGGAGCCGCAGCTGCTAGGCGGCCCCAGCACCCCGCTCACAACTTTCCATTATGGATTAAGCTGACTCTGCCAATCTCACTTTACTCAAGACACCAAACTGGACGCTTGCAAGACCAGTGCCTTGCAAATCTTTGAGATGCTTTTCTTATTATAGATGAAATATGAACATTGTGTTTAGGAACAGGATCCAACAAATGCCAAAGGTATTTATGTAAGTCACTCAGCTTTAGTCCAATGGCCTCTTGAGATGACAACCAAATCAGCTTTTAATAATTTTGCCCTTCTGTTTCGGTTGGTGTTTCATATTTATTCGTATAATATGCTCAACTCAGAATAAGCTGCTTTATCAGAAATTTAATTAAGGTGTGAGGAATCAAGGTTGCCTTGAAAGTAGTACAGCTCTTTGAAGTCAAATCTTCTTAGAGTTTCCCTCTGCACCCAAAGAAACTTATTCAAGCCATGTAAAATACAATTAATCCACTTGCTAGTATTTTTTAAACAATTAATTATGCTAGAGATAACACATCATTTGTTACATTTTTTGTTGTTTTTTTCTTAAAACAAAAAACTTTAAATGAGGTGAAATTTTTGTTTATTTTGTTCATTTGTGTCCAGTTCTTTTTGGCCCCATGGACTGTATGGGGCCACCAGGCTTCTCTGCCCATGGAATTTTCCAAGTAAGAATACTGAAGCAGGTTGTCACTTCCTCCTCTAGGGGATCTTCCCAACCCAGGGATCAAACCCACGTCTCTTGCAACTCTTGCCTTGGCAGATGGGTTCTTTACCACTAGGGCCACTGGGGAGCCTCTTTAGAGTATCAGGTCAATCAAATTTTGATCTCAGTTGCTTGGTCGAGACATCTCTGTCAGCTTCATATTTTTAATATTGGTGAGGAAGCTTTTTGGAATTAGTATTTCAAGATTTCATCTGTTTACTTCCATCTGTTAGGGGAAAGGTTTGAGATTCATGGGGGTGGAGCCTCCTAGTCAAAACATGATGAAAAATCCTATGGGAGCTTGGTTTTAGGACTCAAGAGTGAGGATGGTGGAATGTCAAGATGATGGAGCCTCATTCACCCTCCACCAGCCCTGGTCACTTGTTCCCACGTCCTCCAGCTCATCCCAGTGATTTCAGAGTCAGTTGATCTATGGACTGGCAAGTTGCCTTGTAAAGGATGCAAATACCCTGAAAGAGTGGTACTCTAACCCCGATCCATTGTCAGTTAACACGTTAGTTAACAGTCTGGCCTAGAGTCCCAGAAAAGATACTTGGTTCTCTGTGTGCACGTATGTTCAGTTGCTCAGTTGTGTCCAGTTCTTTGTGACCCCATCCATGAACCGCAGCATGCCAGGCCTCCCTGTCCATCACCAACTCCCGGAGTTTGCCCAAACCCATGTCCATTGAGGAGGAGCTTAATCATAGGTTGGGGCTGGAGGCAAGATTCTGCAGGTGGTATCCAGCTGGGAACTAAAGGGTGTGTAGACATTTTACGGAAGAAGAAGGAGGATAGTGCAAAAGGACAGTGGCACAGTGTATTAAGGGTGCTATAAAATGTTTGGTAAGGTTGGAAAAGAGGGTACTAGGTGTGGTGTTGAGAGATGAAGTGGAGGAGTAAGCAAGGGCTCTCTGACTTTTAAGGAGAAATTTGGACCTTATCCTGAAGATAGGAGAGAGCTATTGATAGTTTCAGGCAAAAGAATTACATGATCAAATTCTAGAAATATCACTCTGCTGGGAGGTGGTATAGAGATTGAAAGGTGGAAGGGGCAGGAAATAAGACTGGAGACAGATTAAGTAGTAATCGGCTAACTAGTAATCCTGGTAATCACCCACGGGCTGAGCTGAGCCATGGCAGTGAAGATGCGAAGAGGTGAATGTACGGGCAAAAGCCTCCCAGGCTGACTCAGGAGCCCCTGATGGTTGGTTGATGGTGCAGAGAACAAAAAAGGATGAGTCAGTGACTCAAGTTTCTGGCGTGGCCAACCGGATGGATGCCAGTCCAGTTTATGGAGATAAGGGACAGGGGAGGAAAGTTCAGATTTAGAGAGGAGGAAGAACTGGGATTTTTTAACTTCTTGAGTTTTGAGGTGCTGACGCTAAAGACAAAAGGGGACATGGGCCTGGAACTCAGAAAGGTTTGTACTGTATCTGGAGAACTCAAGACACTCGCCCTGAAGAGCAAAGACATTGATGAGGCCTGCCACGAAAGAGGAATTCCTTGTACATGATACTAGACACAGCTCTTTTTTTAAGAAGTAGCGGTAAAGCAAATTCTCACGTTAAGTTCTCGGGAGCCTTTTGCCTTAACGCAATGTAGGTATCAGAATATCTGTTGCTGAATTTGTGAAATTATGCTTTCTAAGATTTGCGCTCAAGGGACCTACCCAGTGAGCAAGATCTGTTGGCCTGTTTCTGTCTTGGCAACACATGGGAACAAAATATCACTCTCAGAAATTATGCTACAGAAACATCATTTGGCAAACATTTACTTGGTGCCAGCTCTGTCCAGGCGTGGCACTAGGCCCTAGGAATAGAGAGATGAGTAAGAAACAAAACCTGTTGTGAAGATCGGGGAAACTGGTAGGTTCCTGTGCACCAGGACAAGAGCTGGAAGCAAGGCAGGGCTGCAAATTGGAGGGACCCGCCAGAAGCACTTAACTCAACAGGAGCCACTTACGGTAGACAGTTTCCTGTGCTGTTTGCACAAGCAACTCTTGTCCACCTGAGATGCCTTCCATCCCAGGCCCCTTTCCTTTGCCTAGGCCCTGTTCATCTTTTGTGATCACCCTCAAGATCCATAGCAGTCCTGGACTAAGATAGACAAACTTGATCAAATGTCTCTCCAAACGTGTAATCTTACATGACAATAGGAATGCAAGCAGTATATATGCTAGAGTACATAAGAATTGTATTGTGCTGAAGGGAAGATGACTGGGCATTCTTTAAAAAATATCAGAATGTTTAAATATTTAGTGGGGCTTTCCAGGTGGTGCTCGTGGTAAAGAACCCACCTGCCAATACAGGAGATGCGAGTTTTATCCCTGGGTTGGGAAGATCCCCTGGAGAAGGAAATGGCAACCTACTCTAGTATTCTAAATCACATTTTAATTTAAATTAAAAATTCTTCCTAGTGTCTATAAGGTATGATTTTTGACAGTAGCAGGAATCTCATGAGCAGCATGTGGATTCAGAGACATTGAAGGTAGCTGTTGAGCAGTTAGTGAATTTTTCAGCAGTGTTGCCAGATATGGAAGCAATGTAGACACTCCTTAGCAGTTCCCCCATATATATCACACATCAGTGCAAGCGCCCTTCCCCTTTTGGTGTGAAGATAGCAGTTGGGGTGCTAGCTTTTGGCCACATGCAAACAGGTGTGTCTTGAGTAGTTACCTGGAGCCTAGACCTGTGCCGTGACCTTGTCATCGGTCGTCTCCTCTCATCCCCATGGCAACACTGTGAGCATGTGGGAACCAAGGCATAGGAAGGTCACAAGGCCAGTAGACGTCCTAGCAAGGGAGGATCCCAGGCAGCATCACCATCAGAACCCAGGGCTTTAGCCTCCACTGGACTTTGCGAATTGGGGTGGGATTTTTTTTCTTTACCCACATCCTCTCTATAGGCTCTTAAAGGAAGATCTGTCTGGAAGCAGAACTATATAGTCATAAATCACTGCAGATGGTGACTGCAGCCATGAAATTAAAAGTCTCTTGCTTCTTGGAAGAAAAACTATGACCAACCTAGACAGCATATTAAAAAGCAGAGACATTACTTTGCCAACAAAGGTCCATCTAGTCAAAGCTTTGGTTTTTCCCATAGTCATGTATGGATGTGAGAGTTGGACTATAAAGAAAACTGAGTGCTGAAGAATTGATGCTTTTGAAGTGTGGTATTGGAGAAGACTCTTGAGAATCCCTTGGACAGCAAGGAGATCCAACTAGTCCATCCTAAAGGACAGTCCTGGGTGTTCATTGGAAGGACTGATGCTGAAGCTGAAACTCCAATCCTTGGCCACCTCATGCGAAGAGTTGACACACTGGAAAAGACCCTGATGCTGGGGAGGGATTGGNTGAAGGCAGGAGAAGGGGACGACAGAGGATGAGACGGTTGGATAGCATCACCTACTCGATGGGCATGAGGTTGAGTAAGCTCCGGGAGTTGGTGATGGACAGGGAAGCCTGGCGTGCTGCAGTCCATGGGGTCACAAAGAGTTGGACACGACTAAGTGACTGAACTTAACTGAACTGAAGATTCCTAACTTGAAAATTTGGCTTCTTTGTGTTTTACATCTAATTATCACCAAATTTGGTAGAATTTACAAGTATAAAGATATAATGAATGTCTTCATGGTTAACCAATTTCAAGATATCCTTAGTAAAGTAAAATTACAAGTAGGGCGCACACACACACACACACACACACACACATGCATATATAGTGTACATATGTATATATACATATACACACATATACACTTGTAAGATACATATATAGTGCAT